GTTTATTATGAAAGCGTCTTCCTTAAAGTATACTTGCAGTAATATCTCGACAGTTTTTTTTTCACCCGAGGAATCATCTGAAGTATAAAAATGATACGAAGAGTGATTTGACCTACCCTCCATTTTCATATTTAAACATACATTAGTCGAGGAACACAGAGCTGCAACATGGTATCAAAAAATATCTCTTGCTATTTTCGTCATATGCTAGTGAAATTTAAGAAATTCTCATATGATAAACGTTCTCTGCAGTACCCTGTGCCATTAACGTACAAGGTGTGTAAATTAAGTAATGAGACTGATGTTTTAAATATTTTTTATTTGAAAAGAATTACAATTTAATTCTGTCTCCCTCGAAATAATACACTTGAAAACCATACAGCGTCGAAAATGGTTCTTCCATTCTTCATTGCAATGCTGGAATTCAAATTCTGGAATAGTCTTTATTGGTTCGGCTACAATCTTTTAGATAGTTTCAAGTGTTTCGTCAGAAAGACGTGATTTAAGTGAGAAAAGAGGTTTAGGATCAACAGGAATGTGCTTAATGGCCAAAAACACATTTATTGACATTGCAGTGTGGCAAGCCGATTTGTCGTTATGGGAGATAGATTTATTCTTGTTTCTTTGTCTCACAGGCATGCTCTTTTTCCGTGGTTCAAATTTGATTTATTATTGAAAATATGATGAATGATGCTGCGTTTAAAATTAAACTGTTCTCCAGTTATATTGTCAGTCGAGTTCGGATTCTATCAACATTTCGTTTCTTCTTGCTGTTGAAGTTTTTTTCGTAGCAAGATTTCTTTTCCAACAACTTTATTCCATCTGAAAACGCCTATAACGGCCGAAAAACCATGGTTCTTGACAAAACATCTTCTCCGTAGACTTGTTGGAGTTTTTTTTCAAAGTTTCTTTTTTCTGACATAAGTCTGAAACAAAACCTGACAGTAAACCGCTGCTCCATTTTAATGTCACTCACTTTAAAATGGAACAACGGTACGCACTACAAAAAATGATTTTACACGAAAGATTACTGCAGACAACCGCAAATTCTATTCCGATTGGAATGTACCGAATTTACACGATTACGCAATGAACAAACGAAATCGAGATGATAATCTCACAAAAAAAAATTATAAAATAATGAGGACAAAAACGAAATAAAAAATTTAATCATTAGACTGCCTTCAGGCAGGACAACAGATCTGAACTAACTTACTTGAAAATTTCAGTTAAAACTTGTTTTTCATCTGCAAATAAATATTAGAAGTTTTTTCCTTTGCAAACAATTATTGCTCGTCACATTTCTTTAAAAAATTAATTGTTGCTACACACCAGTTATAACTTGTTAAACTATTCTCAATTAGTCAGATTTGAACATACTTTTACACTCTGGAATAATCTTTAAAAAAGTATCATTTCTAATTCAGGTAAAAAATAATAACGTGCGAAAATGACTAATGTTATAAGCTATCAAGCAATCTCAACTTATAATTTTTGTGACATTATAAAAATAGAATTATAGTTTCGTAAAATTAGGGTCAAGCCTCTCATATTTCTTTATACCTTTACAGTGAACCATTATAGTTCATCACCAGTGATGAAATAACGGTAAAACGAACATTTAATATAATTATTACCTTTTAATACAATTATTAAATATTTAAATATTTATTCAAAATATTTAATGTACGCAAATCTGAAATTTTAACAATAATAATTTTTTAACTCTCTTTATTATGTATTTAATAGACTTAGTAGTATCATTTGACTAATAATAAGCAAAATAAATAAGCAAGTGTTTGCACTTTAAATTAGCTACAAAGACAGATTTCGTCATTAACAATTAAAATGTATTTTAAAACATTTTTCGAGGCGGATTATATTTATTTTAAATAATAAGTATGTTTTATTTTAAACAAATGAAAGTCTAAAACATTAATGAAAAATAATTATAATTCATTTTTTAAACTTTTTGAACTACAAAAATTCTAAATCTTTTGTAAATGGTATCAAATTCAATCTTTATTTTCTTCACAATGTCTCAAAGGTATAACTTAATAAAAAAGGCAAAAAGATCGTTTTAAGAATTTGGAGAAAATGCAATGGTAAATTATTCAAATGTTTTGAACTTTCGTGCCTACTTATCATGTTACTAAAGTAAAAATGTGTTTGGAATGGGATGACATTATTCTTTTACTATGCAAATTGAAAGTTTAAAATTCTGTTTTCTCGAAAACAGAGTATAAAGTAACACAGTAAATAGCTGTAAATGCTTTATGTTTCTACTGCTACTGAATAATGCACAACGAAACATTAAACTTTATGTCGAATGATCATGCACCATTCTCTATCAAGCGAATTTAATCTCGATTTTATGTATTTATATGTGTATATACAATATAGAGCAGCTAAATTAAATGTTTGCACTTGCATCAAAAATTAAACTTTAAAAGGTTTATATTAAGAAAGGGTTAACCACAAGATTTTTTTTTCTAAGCAGCTAAGTTTCACAAAGTTTCTAAAAGAAGAACCAGAAATTAGATAAAAATTCATGAATAAAACAAAATATCTAATTAAATAGCTGAGGTGCAATATTTTGTGCATGGAATACCGAAACAGTAAAAAACCAAAAAAAAAAAAAAAAGAATACGTTTAAAATTTAACATGTTAAATTTCTTGCTCTTGGAACATGTTAAGTTTCTAATGTTGAATTCTAATTCATGTCTTACTTGGTATATCAGAAACCCTGCTCATCGCATAAAAAAAATATTTTTCTCAGAAGGTGTTTCAGTAATGTAAGCAAATTTCACAAAATATACATAATTTTATTTTGTTACGATTAACAAAAAGTTAAAAATTGTAATAGTGATTTTTAAATGTCATAAATAAGTTTTCCTACATATTATATATATATATATATAGAGNTGGCTACAAAATGATTAAGGTAATTCTAACTCGTGTCTTACTTGGTATATCAGAAACCCTGCTCATCGCATAAAAAAAATATTTTTCTCAGAAGGTGTTTCAGTAATGTAAGCAAATTTCACAAAATATACATAATTTTATTTTGTTACGATTAACAAAAAGTTAAAAATTGTAATAGTGATTTTTAAATGTCATAAATAAGTTTTCCTACATATTATATATATATATATATAGAGTTCAATCTTGTCGTGTTGTCAGACGCTTTCAAAATGATATCATAAATATTTTTTAAAATCAGATATTTTCTAAGCAAGCATTTAAAATATTTTATAATTTACAAGATTTCAGCTAAGATTATTTCTTTCTGAACAATTTAGTTATGTCAAGCATTATGTAATAAAATTTAATAGGCATAATAATACTATATTATAATCAAGTGCAACAATATTTTTTTAAAGTTCTATGTATATCTGAATCCTTATGGAAAATAATTAAAGGTTAATTATATATTTTTCTATTCAAACAATTTCTTCATGCGCTAACTAGCATCTGGCATCAAAGTCAAAATTTTTGCGTTTTTAAAACTTATTAGATGATGTAACATATTTAGTAAACAATGTATGTATATGACACTTAGGCTATCTAAAAAAGTAGACCGATAATTTAACTAATAAGTAAATTAAACAAAACGTGATAAATAATAGTATATTTATTCAAAATCGTACGTTAAACTGCTCTTTATATTGCCTTAACTCTTAACTACTTTAAGGACTGTATCTTTCTCCCTGTTGTTTTTGCATTAATAACTGCGTCAGAGCTTATAGCGCCATCTGACGTTGTAAAGATATTTTAAAATTTATTTATTCATTAAAGCAGAACTAACAACTATTCCTTGAAATTTAATCAGAGCTTATATGAAACACTATAAATAAGGGAATGTAGGTGAATTATCTTTTTTTAAAAATAAAAATAAAAATTTTTAATAATATACTTGTGTTATGCAATCTGAAAACAACTCACATTTTAAATTTTATCAACAACAAGGTGCATAAAGTGGTACCTGATATTGAAGTCTCCAAAAATTTTAAAAAAAAACGCAACTCGAGAGTAGTATTTCAGCATTCCCAGAAAAAAATTTACTTATTCAATAGTTTATAATCAGCAATTATTCCAATATATATGATTCCGACATTTTTTGCTTGGAATCTTACATATCTTAGACTAATATTTCTTACGAAAATATAAAACAAATATTATATAAATCTGCAGATAACTATTATACGAATGTAGAAACAATTTTTTTTTCCTACTAGTCTACTGCTTCTTCCGCTCGCTAACTCAGTTGTGGCTTCTACTTCATCTTTATTTATTCTTTAAAAGTGGATTTTTTTTTAAATAAAAGAACGTTTTGTTTATAAAAAGGATAATTATTGCATTTCTATGTAAGAACATTTGTATGTTAGAACATTATGTTGATATGTTAATCTTAACAAAATGAACTTTTACCTGGATGTGAAAAATAATCAATTGCATATACAAAAAATTAACTTAGGAATAGAGAAGGTATGGTATTATGAAAAGTAATAAATGAGAAGTGATTTTACTTGTTAACAATCGATATATATATATATATGTTATATATATATATGTCAACATCTGTCAACATCTATGTCTGTCAACATCTAATCTCTTTATCTTGTTTTAGCGTGTTTTGAACGAGCTTATAAAATTGAAAATCTTCAAAGTGATAAACTTCTAGACAATAATGGATAAATAATCATCATTTAAAGAAAAAAGGTTAGATAAAATTCGCAAAAAAGCACATAAACTTGCTGTTCAAAGAAGATGTAATTATTTTAAAAAAAATCCATGTTGACAATAATGGTTCTCTGTAATTACATTTCAAAGGCCAACATTGGAGCACCTTTTTTAAATCCATAATCAGATACTCAAAACAACTACTCGTGTATTACTGGATTTACACTCTTAAAAATAGAACTGGATAAATAAGTAAAAAGAAGCAATGAGAAAATTATTATATTTATACTATTCTAAGGTTTTAACTTTTCTTTCAGTGCTTTTGCTGGTCGTGTAACATCTGAGACAGAAAAAACATTTTTCAGCCGTGTTGGACAACATACTTTCTTTCTTCCAGTTGGATCAGCTGATGAAATGAGCAGTGTAAAACTTCAAGATATTGATCAATGGGTAAGTTTCTGAAAATTTTGTTCTCATCAACAATTTTAAAAATAATAAATGTATTTCACTCAATTTTATTTTATACCGATTTCACAATATAAGTACCAGCGTTACTGGTACTGTTGAACGAAGTAATGTACTTCACACACGAAAAAAAAAATTTTAAAAAAAGGCAAAAAATTAAAATTTTATTTGCATAAAATATTAATCACGCTTATAAATCTATAAAATAAGTTGTTAAAAAAGTGTCTTCCGGTTCCCTTTTTTTCCCTAAAATAAGTTTCTGAGACTGGGTTTTAGGAGAATTTTTTAAACTATACCTGACTTAATTTACATCCAAAATAAGCTCCTAGCTCATGAATCATTTAAAAACAAAAATTAAAACAAAAATCAAAAAATTATTTATTTAAAATACACTATTAAAGTTTTTCCTCATTAAAAACATAATAAACATTAATTTCTTTGAAGTTAATTTGAAGAAAATATATATAATTATCCATATTCTTATGCTTTAGCTGTACCAAATAAAATTTGGCTTCAACCACCCATATGGAATCGGATATGTTTTTCAAACATTGAATCTCCCTTTAAAAATTTCAGCAAATTTTTACACTGAAAACAATTTTCACCAACTTAATATTTCATTTTATTGTTACGTAATTTTTATCGTTATTGTAAGTAGTGAAAGAATGTTTAAGTGCTACTTATTAAATTATTTCTTGTGGTGAAAAAACTTTTCAAATAACTTTACCTAAAACTATTTGCTTATCTGGCTGTCCTAAACTAAACTATTTTCTACACGTTTTGGCTACAAAATGATTAAGGTAAAAAAAACAATTTTAGCAAAATTTATATAACAGTTATATTTTTCTCTATATGCCTGATTTTAGTTTTAAATTTTTCAAAAGATGACACTGCAAAAACTTAATTAGGAGTAGTAGTTCTTAATTTACGTCCATCATCATCATATTTGGCTAGACAGCCCAGGGTGGGCCAGTGCCTTCCTTTGAATTCGAATCCACTTCTCTCTACTTTTGACACTTGTTCGCCAGTTTTTCTCCTTTAGAGTAAGGAAATCAGTCTCAACTAAATCTAGCCATCTCAGCCTGGGTCTACCTCTTTTCCTGTTCGTTAGGGGTTTGTGTAATAGGAATGTAATAGGAACGTCCACAATGGTTTATTTGCGATCCTTGAGAAACATCCTTGAGAATGATCCGAAGACATGCCCTTACAATTTTGATACCCTGGAAGAGAATGACTTCCCCGTTTTGGTAGACCAACGATCTGCATTTCGAAGTCGAGCAGTTAGACGAGGACCGTACCTGGAACTCTCACTCCCTTCGCAGGCTGATCAAAGTGGTCACCCACCCACACACTGACCGCAGACATAGATGTTGGACTTCGGTGATCTACTGGGAAATTTATTTTACCGAGAGTCTATTGTGGAATAAAGACTTAATGACAAAATCAAAGAAAAATTCCTGAAAATCAAAAATTTGAAAGTTTCCAAGCATTTTAATGAATGAAAATCACATAAAATTTTCCAAATGTCCATTATCAGTAAAACAAACAATGAAGCAAAAGAGTAACCATGCACAAAAACTCGAACTCGCTATCATCAACACTCATGTTATATAGAAACAATCCACTAAATGCATCTTAACGAAACAGAAAAATTTTTTATAGGGATTCACAGCACAATCTGATGATAAATTTGATCTTAAACTATCTACTCTGGAGCCATTTATGGTTATAAAAATCCCCTTTACTTACTTTTGTTACCCATCAGTCTAAATTATAGCTATCCATACTGATCAATCGAAACAATAATTGAAGAAACCTGTCTAACTATATAAAGTTTTTATACGTTGTTTTATACTATTCCTAATTATTTCATCGTTAATATAGTACTTCTAGGTTTTAGAATGTTAGATAATAAATCTTTGTTTCTTTTTACTTATTTTCTCCTTATAAATAAAATAATATCAAATGTTTTTATTCAATATTGCAATTATAATTTATCAAACATTGTGGTAGCATAAAAATTGTGCGTTTATTCTCATTTTATTCTGTACCCTTAACCCCTATGATTTAATTTTCTTTCAATGATTTTCTTTATTTTAAAAATAAATTCAAACTTTTGAAAAGGATGTCAAAAAATATAGTTTACATTTCCTTATTTTAATGAATAAAAGATTTGTACAAATGAGTTTTCTATTTCCAAAATATCTGTAAAGAATTTAAAATGTTTAAAAAAAAGGAAGATCTTGATGAAAAGACTAATAGTAAATAGAAGAGGAATTTGCTAACAATTCGTATTCTGAAAAAAAAATCTTATTTTAAAAGCTTTGAATTACAACTAAGAATAAAATATTTATAAATTGTTTCCGTAAGAAAATATTTATAACATAATTGCTTTCCTGTGGTATAAAATTTTAAGCGTGCTTGATGGTTTCTAATACTAACATATATCAACAAAATTATAAAAATTGTATCCTTAACGGAGTTTAAAAACATTTTTTTTTATAATTTTTTCTTTATACCCAAATAGTAGGAAAAATGCTTTTAATGAAACTTCCTTTGAATACTTTTCCTTCAAGCGAAAAACATCTCTCATGCATTTAAAAAAAATATCTCTCACGCATTTTCTATCTAAGGAAAAATTAATTGTTCCAATTTTTTTAAGAATAAACTTGGTTTATTCGCATCAAAGAAATCAATTTTTATTTCATAAATAATAAAGCCTGATTCAAGAAAATATTAATCGTTTTAGCGTTAGATTGCATTGTTGAGTAAAAAAAAAAGTTTCGCAATATATTTTCAAATTAAAATTTCAATTTCTATTTATTCAAATAATATGCATCATTAAAAATAAAAAATAAAAACGAATTTTAAATGTATAAACTTTGTAGCAAAAAAAAATTCACTTGCTCTTCTTTCGTAAATAGATAAACTACAGTGATTTTAAAATAATAATAATAATTTTCTGATCAAGTAAAATTATAAATTTAAGCTAAGTAACGAAGATTTATGAAAAGTAAAGAACTCCCGCAGACCAATCTGTCTGCTATAGGATTCATAAAGTTTAAGGCTTTGCACCGATCGGCTTCTTACTTTCAGACAAGGTGTTAGCGACAGATCTAAATTTGGTTGGCATTCACTTCCCACTTGTCGATAGAAAAAATACCTCCTTTTCCTTATTCATTTCTTACTTTTTTTCTTATTTTCCTTTCTTATTTTGAGCAGTTTATGCTCGTTACGATGAGCTACTAAATTAATCCGTGCGGAGGTCTTCTCTCTTCTAGAAGGTGTTGATAGAAGTCAATTCTTCACAATTCTAGTGCAATGCTTAAACCACTGTACCGCTGCGTCATATGAAAAAGGACAGTTAAGTTGTTCAGATCAGAAGTTCTAAAATTATGCATTTCTGAACATTTGGATGGAAAATTGACTCCTTAGGACAGTATACAGATAGACCACATTTTCAAGTTGTTCAAAAAGTGTTTTTGGTGAAAAACACAGCGATTACTTTATGAGAAATACGATCTTTGTTTATGTTTTTCTGTTATTTAATAAATATTTCAGAAACTTTTTCAGTACCTATCAGAAAATATCAAAAAAGAGGTTAACGTAAAAGTGTTGCCATTAAAAAATATATATCTCTAAATTAATCTAAGCCTTTCAATTGAAGCACCTAAACTTCGAATACAATGGTTTATATATATTCCAAGGATTATATATAATTAAAAAAAATTCATTAAAAAAAAAGAAGAAGAAAAAGAAACATCAAAACATACATTTTGCGACCCCTTCATAAAATCTTCCGGAAAACAAGAAGAATTTCTAGCTAAGTAATAAAGCTAGCAAATATAAATAAATAATAATAAAGCTAGCAGTTTTATACAAGGCAGAAATTTATAAAAGGTGATATTCAAATTAACTACTAATCATGCAGTAAAAACAATTCCAAAAATGTTAAAAAGAATATTTTTATCCTACGTTCTGAAATATTTAAAATGTTGAAGAAAGAAACAGAATCCGCGTCTTTATTTCTTCGAAATATGTCAAAATGTCCGTTTTTTCTCAACCATTATTAAATACTGAATATTTATTTTTCTGAAACGTCAAAAAAAGATTTTACTACGCAAAAGCGTTCCAATTACTATCAATGTATCAACATTCCAAGATTTCTTCATATAAACATTGAAAACATATATAAGTATTGTTTTTTTTTCAAGGAATTTTTTTCTGAAATATAAATAAAACTTTCTGTATCGTTTTGACTGATGGTTTTTCTTTTTTGCCCGAGTAATAATAAAAAGTATTAACTTTTATCAAGTAGTGTTATTACTTTGCTGGCTTATTCATATTTAGAGGGTAAAAACATTATCTTAGATAGCTAAAATACTACTTTCTAGCTTTTTTCCTTTGTTACCTTCAAACTCCGAACTGTTATTGTCGCTCTATAGATCAATAAAGTATGGCGAAATTCTCTTTTTCTATTACTTTTTATTTAGAAAATATATTTTTTATTGTTTTTAATTATATTATCTTTGAATGTTATTTCTTCTTGTTTTTCATATTATCTTATATTATTTTGTGTATTCGGATTATTAAAACAAACATTAATAGGATTTACATAAATGGAATTTAATAGTAAACTTATTATGCACTAATAAGTGTAGTAAAAAGAAAGCATTGTAACTTATAACGAACCACTAAAGTGTGCATTAAGTTATGAAAATCCTTGAGCTGATGAATGATTGAGTTAAACATAGACTGAAAATCAGTATAGCAATTATCTTTCCAATTTTTTCCTGCATATAAGAATAGGTTCAATAACATTTTTTTGAATTAATACACAGTCTAGTTACAGTATGCGTTCTTAATGCGAACACCTATCGAAAGTCAGGATAACAATCTTTTGCAGAGCAGACTGCTGAGAAACGTGTAGGAGGAGAGTCATTTAGGTTCTTGAAGTTGTTCACTGGGGTGTTAAACCATGCTGA